CAAGGCAGCTGTACTTACCCACCACCTGTGGGAGGGAAGAGGCCTCCATATCCAGCATTATGGAGCCCTTCTCTATACACGTCCTCAGCTCGAACAAGCTGTGCAGGGACAAGGTGGCCACATGTGGTTTGCTCCATCGCTCCCCACCTTGTTCTACCTTCTCCTCAAACTTGATCCACCTATGAGAGGGCAGAGCAATGAGACTCGGTTAAAGCTGTTGGCTCCTTGCAGGGAAATCAAGCAATGTGACTTGTACTGGAGTACCTTGGCAGTGCTAAGTTAATGGCTGGATTTGATGGCCTTACGGGGCTTTTCCAGCCTAAATGACTCTGTGATTCAAACTCAGGCAACAACATCAGAAACTTCAGCATGGAATACTGCTGCCCCATCCCTGCAGGCCAGCAGAGGGTGGAGGAGAGAGCACATCCCATCATGTCTGAAGGTGTTCTTAGAGACCAAGTGAGTCACCAAACAAGAAGACACAAACTAAGGGGCTCATTCCTTCCCTCTAGCCATTGTTTAATGATTTAACCAGGCAGGTCTGAAAACCCCTGAGAACTTATCTCTAGTGGAAGATTAGAGCAAAGGTTAAATCCCGGTCTGTGCAAAACACACTCTACACCCCTAAAACCACGTCTGCACAGCAAGCAAGCAGGAGGTTTCACCTCCCTTGGCTGCAGCCCACCCCCCAGCTCCACCTCCAGCCTTGACCCTGCCCTTGGCTCCGCTAGGGTGGGCAGCCAGGATGGAGCTGGAGGGGATCTCACCTGGCCCAGACCTCTTCCCTTTACCATAGCACCCAGTGATGGCTTTGATGCAAACTGGGGGCTCAGGAAAAGGTGTTTCAATACCCAAAGCAGAAGTGTTTTTTTAATCCCCTCTCAAGACACTACTTTAATACATGTGGAAAATGAAAATTCCAGTGACTAATATAAGGGGATTATTAAGACAAAACCCACACATGTAAAGGTAAGGAAGCCCATGAAATGGTTCAAAAGAATATTGTTAACAGAAAATTAAATTATATTTAATCCTGAAAAATATATTACTTAAGGATTAATCAATTATGCTTTACAACTGCAAAAACCTTTCTCTGAGACTTTGTTTTTCTAAAGCTGCTTTCTAACTTGAGCTGAATTTGCTCTCCAATTAATACAGTTCTTTCAGTCCACAAAACCCAGGTGTTTCCTAGGACACCTGAGGGATCTGGAGGGCTGCAAATCTGTGCCTTTCAGAGGCCCTGTGTGATGTGGGACCAAGACACGTTTACTCTGTCACAGCAGAAAGGCTACAAATTCCCAAGTGTTTGTCCTTCCAGGGAAAGTGATTACTCACAACTATCAATATTTGCTTGCTGTTTACTTTTCTCACTAAGACCCACAACGCCAACACAATAGAACAAATATTAACTTGCAAACCTGGGTGACCTATTCTGCCTCCTCTATTCATGGATCACAGAATGGTTTGGGTTGGA